GAAGGGAGCATTTTCGAGCCTCGGTTTGTTTCTGGCGCTTGGGCTGGGTGGCCTGCTAGCGGGGAGCCAAAGTGGCGGCGGCGGCCGGCAGCAGTGGTGGAGTTGGGAAAAGTTGCGAGGCCGCCGCCGAAGTTGCGCGGGCTGGCGGGCTGCGCCGAGCTGCGGCTGCAGTAGTGGGCGCTGTGCGCTCGGCGGTGCTCTCCGGCGTGCGCGGCGCGGCGGGAGGACTCGGTGGGGTGTGGGGGACACGAAGGAGGGGGCTGTAATCGTGGGTATGGGAGGGCACGGGCTGAACAGAGCTACCCGCTCCGCAAACCGCAGGCAGGTGGGGAGAGAAGAGACGTCGCGAGCCTGTGGGAGCAGGGAGTGGAGGGCACGCAGCCAGTGGCGACAGCCGCCGGGGAGAAAAGGCTGAGAGGGCGCGCTCCCGCCCGCGAGCTCCGCGCTGGCGGGGCGCCGAGTGACCCCCAGGGGGCGGGCTGCTGGAACTCTGGGCCGCGGAGCGGGCGCGGTGGAGTCTATTGCTCCCCTTCTGGACTCTGCCCGGGTCTTAGGTCACTAACCCTCCCCGGCGCCCCCTGCCTGCTCGGCGTGGAGAGGCTGTGGTCAGCGGCCCCGGGCCAGTGGGTTCCCGACTGGGGCGGAGGGACCGTCACCCGCCCCACGCTTCTAGTACAACTGTTGGATGACTTCGCCCGGCCTTGTCCGCCGAGTCGACATTGTCCGAGAAGGCGCGAGTCTCGCCGGGACTGGACTGGGGTTTGTCTAAATGCTTCTGCCACGAGTCTAAGGGTCTCGGCGGTGGCCAGTCCTCGGGCGGCCCGAAGTGCTCCCGCGCGAGGTGTCAGACTCGGGCAGGGGCTGCGTGGGGAGAAGATAGGCCGCTGTCACTCTCCCACTCGCTGGAAGCAGAACTCCTTATTTGTTTTGCTTGTTGTGGACTAAAGAAGAGAGAAATGAGGGGTGGGCGGGTTGTTTCTCACCAGTGAAATCCCTGGTTGCCCCCTTCCCTCCTTGGCTCCCAGAAGCTCAGTGCGCTCCACGCCTTCCAGCTCCCGCGTCCTAGCAGCCGCGGCACCGAAGGCAGCCGCACCTCAGCGGGGCTCGTTTTCGCAGGCTGTGGGAGCCCGCGTTAGCTCAGCTAGATGCTGTCAACGTAGGCGCCTTTCCAGGGCTTTGAGTAGTCTTCACCCAAGCACTTCCTCCCTTCCCAGCGTTTCCTCTTTCCCAGGGAGAGAGGGATCAACCTAAATATCGGGCTTTTTGGGTCATTAGGCCATCTGTTTCTCTTTTGTATATAGTTCATTTCACTTAACTGCGACAGTGTCAAAGCGCGCCAGTGGAACTCCGGTTTGTTTTTAAATGAGGCCGATGTCTTTATTTTCATCTGACGAGGAATAAATGCACATAAGCGTGGCGGCCTGGGGGCTTCAATTACGGCTAAAGGTTAGGTGCGTGAGGGGGTTGGTGGGGGCAGGAGAGGCAGGGTGGGGAACTTATTTCAACCGTGCCTATGTCGTGAAATGAAAGCCAAAGGTTTGCCGCGCCTCGTTGCCGGGCATCCGCCGAAGTGAAAGCAGAACACAAAACTCTCCGAATTTTCTTGAGTAACTTTTTCAACTGTTTTAATTACCAAACTTTACAAGGTCGCATAAAAATATTCCCTTTTGTGCAACCGACTAATTATCCAGAAACCCAGCCTCGTTTCCGATCTGATGCTACATGTCGTTCGTCCAGCAGGGAACCCATTTATTTTGTCTCTAAAGGATGCGGCTGCCGCTTTCTGATAACGAGATACGAACTCATACAAACTTTTCCTGCTAAGCCTCAGGTTCCCGCTTGCGCTGCGCCATCGCGACTGCCTTTCCCATACAGAAGCGCTGCTTTATACAGTCCTCCAAGTACAAACTGGGTAATAAAGAAAATCACCTTAAAGCTACAGATTTTTGTGTGTGAAAGCACTGTCTCCTCCCCCCTTTTAGGGCGCAAGTTTCCTAGAGCGTGGCAGCGATATTCCATGACCCCTGAGGTGCAATCCAACGAAAACTTCGCCGCAGTGTCTGTAACGGTTTCTTTTTCTGAGTTAGGAAGAGGCAGTGTGATCAGCATACTTTGTAAAACAAACCTACATTAATCGTTGCAGAAGCAAACATTGCAGTGGTAACAATTGCAGTGGTAACAACTCACACAAACAGTTGTTTTCTCTATTGCTTGTTATTCTTTCTTTGGTGAATTTCCTTAGTGGTCAAGTCCTTTCGCGACCTTGACTATGGTACTGGATCCAATTGATCGAGGCCAGTGACCACAGACACTGACAATGTCCCTGAAGTTAAACCCAGAGTGAACAACTCATCTTCCAGCTTGCAGTACTTGGGGTTTTTTTTTTTTTTTTTTTGTTACAAGGAGTTGAAACCGAAAAATTCGTTGCATCATTTGGGAGGGATAAACAATTTAATTTAATAAATAAAAAAAGGGAAAAGCAAGAAGACTGACATTTATATTGTTTAAAGTCTCCGGTTTTTATTCCAATCTTTAAGAAAAGAAAACTAAAAGTCAAGCAGACTCTGGCAGCCCCGAAAGGCTGCCAGACGCTTTCTTGGGCAGCGAGGATAGCACCTGGTTGGTGCCAGAAATGCCAGTTGCAACTGGGTTTTCCGGGTGGTGGAAAAGAAGTGAGGCCGGGTCTGTCCAGCAAGTCTAGAGTCTTAACACCGAAGGAACCCGCTACCCCACCTTCCTAAAGTGACACCCGGCAGGATTTCAATCACAGCAATGAACGATTTGCAATGAGTAACCCCCCTTAGCTACTGGCCCCCCAGAAGTCTCGTAAAGACCCAGAAGGCGATGTGATTAGCAAGACCTTGGCGGCGGGGTTGGGGTGGGGGCTGGTTGTTACTCGTACAATTGACCTGCTTAAATATAACCTCTGAAGTAGTAAGTAGAGGATGACCCTCCAGCCTGCGCTTAAACTCCTCACCTTAGCAGCCCTTTACCTGTGGTAATACAGTGAAGGCATGCCCTGGTGACAGCCTGCACTCCCGGTATGCCTACCTAGTTGCGTTTTTTCATCCTTAAAAAATCCAGGTTGAAACATAGCTTTGTTTTAAAAATATTTTTATTTGTTTATTTCAGGCTGCTTTTGAGGAGGAAAAAAAAAAAAAAAAACGCTCGCCGCGGAGGCAGAGGCCCCTTCTAGGAAGGCGGTTTATTTGCCATTACTTGACCATTACCCTGGCTTAGGCTTCTTTATTGCATTTGGCACTCGGAACGCAGCCTTCCTGCAGCATTTTGATGTGTTTTGCCAAAAAAAAATATCTATGTTTAGAGGAAGGTTAATAACGCTTTTCATTCCCCCCTCATCCTCAATCCCATGGAAGGCTGGAAAGAAAGACTTCTTTTTCAGGTTTTTATTTGTAGAGACTAAGGAGTCTCAAGCTTGGCGACGGCTGCGTGTAAATGTGTGTATAAGTGTGCCTGAGTGTGTCTTTTGCCGGGTAACCCAGCTCATAGGGCTTCTGAGCCCAAGCCTCTCCGCTACTTGGGGTCAGGCTCCTGCATCCACACACCAACACGCAGGACGTCTATCTAGTAGAAATTAAGTCAGAGTTCCGTAAAGTTGTGAGCTGCTTTTTCTCTTTTTAAAGTTAAAGATAACTCTGTAAGTCCTCCCTGTTAAACATCTCGTCGTTGTGGATTTATTTTATTTCATTTTTGGAGGTTGGGCAACGTTATCCTAGGCTTCAGATTTTGCCCGGGGCTAAAGGGCCGCGGCTGGGGATGCCAGGCTCCGTCTGCCCAGGCAAGGAGCGCGGGAGCGCGCTTCAGACTTGTTGCACGCCTGGCCTGATCCCCTCTCCCGGCGCGGCCACTACTTTCCCTCTTCTGGAAGAGAGCCCTGACATGGAGTAGCTTGACTTGTCATCTTCTGGCCAACGGCGTTAGTCTTATTCCCAAGATAGTCAGCGCCTGGCAGAGCCCAATTCCCAGGGCCTAGGTAAAACCTCCCATCCCTCCTCTCCAAACCGCTTTTGGAGGGGGTAACCCTCCAGGGTAGGGAGTGGGGGTGGAGCTGCGGAGGCCCTAGTGAGGAGACACAGTGCTTACCCACCTCATACCTCCCTCCTCTGGCCTCAGAGCTCCTGGGCGTCTAAACTTAGGCTAGCACTCTTCTTTATTAGTCAACCTCTGAGGTGCTGCGTGCCTGGAGCGCCGATTTCTGCGGAGCGGGTTTGCAGGGACCTTTTCCACGCCCGTGTGCACACCAGCCCGGGCAGGCACACACACATACCCTCAACAGGGACTCAGGCACACATTCACACTCCCAGGCCTGGAAGGGCCCAATCAGCCTCATTGTGTGGAAGAGAGGTAGGCTATGGGAGATGGACCTGGAGGAGACCTTCAAGTTATAATGATACCAGGCATATTTTTCTAGAGGGCTGG